ACATTTGAAAAAATATTTTTATTTTTCCTCTACATTTCTACAATACATACTCAGTTTTCTGTGGGTGTAGTTTGCACTGTGTGTGTGTGTGTGTGTGTGTATGTTCCTCAAATGAAGCAGACAGTACTGTGCTTGGATGTGCGATCTGTAGCTTTTCAGACATACCTAACGTGTGTGTGCGTGTGGTCAGGATGGAGGCATGCAGATGCCCTCCACTGGCCCCCGCCAGAAGAGTAGGGTTTAAGAGAAGGATCATGCTGCCCAGCTGGGGTGTGGACACTCTGTGCCTCCCTCAACTGGGTCTATTCAATGCTGGTCACCTTGTGCTTTAGTTTTGGCCATGAGAACAATCACTGAGCTGCTTTTTCTGATCCACTGGAGGTCGTGCTTACAGTCATGCAGGAGGCAAAGATTACTATGGCCAATTCACTTCGGAGGATTTTCAGCAGCTTAGGCAAAAAGTGCACAGACAACCTCCATCAGCTGCATAGGAATCCCAGGTCCCGCACTTCAGAACATGGAGGACTGTGTGATCATGACTACAGAATACATTCTGCAGATACAACTAAGGGAAAGTAAACACGTGTCACAGATATCGAAGCCACATATCTAAAGAGACACATCGAGACTCAAAAGCGTAAAGATCATACGTTTGACAAGAAGAAAGTGGCAAGAAACCTAGCCACCTGGCTCTATGAAGCTAGGAGTCTGGGCAAGACAAATAGAAATGTCTCTCATAAGCCATCGTTAAATTGAATCGCTTGCATTTTTGGATTGCCTTTTTTTTTTTCTACTGAACTCTTACTATATCCTCTGGGAGTGACAGTCAGATGTGGAAACCAAGTTGAGTATCAGTGGGCAAGAGCTCCGCGCCCACCCCCACCCCCCTCTCTAATTCATTCGGAGTCCTGTCTGGCCAGACTTACTCCAGGAAACAGGCCCCTAGATTCAATTTTGCTTTAAACCAGAGGTTGCACACCGTGAACCCTCTTCTGCTCGGAGATGTATTTGTTTGGTCTGCCCTCAGCTCTGAATCAACTGACATCACTTACAACTAGGGAGATTTTATAAGATTCAGAAGTGTTAGCAACACTTGGGCTTTAGCTGGCCTTCGGATATCCCTTTTCAGATGGGGCATTTCCTTGCCGGCTGGCTGCTGAACTGCTCTCACTCATTTGCATCAACTCCCTGGCCCTTTTAGGCTTTTGAATTTTTAACCCTTGCTTCAAATGAACATGTACCTCTGGGTCCTGAGACCTGTCCCTGCGCCCTTCGACAAAATAGGTTGTCAACTCCCGTCTAATGACCCACCTGGTTTCCCATACCAGCCTGCTGCTTTATTGGCAGCTGGAAACAAAAAATTAAAGATCACTTCATCTAAAGCAGATGGTGGACTTTTCATCTTCTTGATACAGGGGACTCTGTGCAAAGGTTCACTACAGATGTGTACTTTCAAGTTATTGCTGTTCTATCGAATGGTGGCTCTGTCAGGGCACAGGCATCCTTGCCTGAATTTACTGCCAACTGTAGTAACTTCACTGGAAGCAAACGTTTACAGAGAAAAGAGAGTCAGGAAAAAGTTATTTCTAATTTCCAATAGCTGTGGAATTTTTCCTTCTATAATACATGGAAACAAAGCACGTGCAACAAAACGGACATCATTTGCACCTGACTGATGTTTTCAAAAAAAGCTCGTTAAGTTTTAGGTTGTCCTTGGGACGGAAGAATCGCTTTTGCATTCAAACCTGGTACACATGGGGTTGTGGAGAGTGAGCGTGAGTTGACTAGTCATGGGTGTGGTTTTCTACAAACAATTTAGCTTGACTGCCGTGAAGTTAGGTGTTGGACAAGGCAGCTGTGGTAGGAAATGTACTGATGATCTCCCTGGCACCTCTTGCTAATAATGTCGAGTTCACTGTGATTTAAGGTGTCACAGATTCTGCCCAAGAAGTCACATTACCCAAGAGACCACTATATTCTCTGTTTATACCTACACAGTGGTCCTTTATTCCAGAATGCTGAAGACAGTATTCAAATGAGGGAAATCCAGAAAGGGTATGTTTGTAGAGTACATCTTTACCCTCAGCTTTCATTCTCTGCGGGGGGGGGGAGCGGGGAGGGGAAGCTACAGAATAAGGGATACAAAGGCGACCCAAGTTGTGGACAATAGGAATATGTGTGGCGTATCAAGCCAGATTTTGAATCCCTTCTTCTCTCTTCCCTCCAGAATTCGCCTTTCCTTTTCCAGATCACAGATAGACTAGAATTCGAATTCACACAACTTTACCTCCCTTGGCAGAGTCCGCTAATGCCACTTAGATTTCTGTATTTTCCCTGCTCAGGACTTGTTTAGGAAGCTTGGGTTTGCTCGGGAGACGCATATTCCCATTAATGGGGCAGCTGGATTATCTGGCTCTTAGCAGATTTTAGAAAATGAGACCAAGTTGTCCTTATTCGTGTGCAACTTCCCAGCAAGTCCACACAGTTAACAACACAAAGTTACTGCTTATTGTTCTGAAAGCCTTGTCAGAGAGGTTCTCTTGTTGGCATATTTAATTTATGCCGTTTACATTTTGTTGTCATTTTCCTGTTTTTTCCCCCTCCTCCTTGATGTACTTTTTTTTTTTTTAAATGAAACATCCCTGAGTGGATACAGTGCAACATCTGCATCAAGCAGTGATTGTCATTTACGAAGCATGAAGTGAAGCTCATGGGTTCTTTCATCCAGTGCGCATTGTAGTGTGAAGGTGCTGGGAAGGGACAAAGATGGCATGTGGTACAGAAAGTTGTCCTCAACCAAATTTCAAAATACCTTGAGATGTGGTCATAGGAGATGTTCAAAAGGCAGCTTTTAAAGGCTTTTGTTACCACTGAAAATATGACCGGGTTCTCTTTTCAGGGACAGATTTGGCAACTGGGGCGCAAAATGGAAATCTCTCTTCTCTACTGAGGCGGGCTGAGCACATACTGGTTTCCACTGTTTTGTTCTGATTCAATCGCTAGCCGTTTCCTGTCCCCTCACTTCAAAAGGTTCCTGCCGTCCCAGTGAAATGCTTGCACTAGTGGAAACGGCAAACAAACTCAAATCCAGCACCTCCTGAGGCAAAATGTGGGGAGCAATCCTTTTCCTACATCACCCATGGGACAGGGAAGGAAAAAATTCTCAGCCACTTCATCAATTGAGCCAATTTAAATCCTCTAAGGTAGACTGGAGGAAACAAATGATTCCCTTTGCAACGGAGCAGGAATTTCAGGCCGACAACGGAAAACACTAGGCCAACAGAACAATGAAAACAAAGTCTGACATAAGTTCAAAGCTCAAAGGGAAACACCAAGTAGACACATTAAGCACTGCCTATCACAAGCCAATCATAAAACATACATTGCATTTGGAAACAGCTTGGTTTAATTGAGCGCCTTCCATTACCCTGTTTTCCTAGCAATCAGTAAAGTAATCTTTCCATTAGAAGGAAATATGACTCTTGGAATTAATTCTTTATACAAAGAGCTAGCAGGAGTGACATTTACACCAGAAACAACCAAGTCCCTGCAGCGGCATAATATGCAGTCTGCAGCTGTCTTCTTAGACACCGAAGGTAATTTGGTTCAATGTAGTTAAATTAATTGAATATAACAGTAGTTGAGAAAGAGAGTCATTATTTTAAAGCCTTTTTGTTTTTCCCCATGGGTTTGGAATTCATCAATCATGAGGTGCGAAAAGGCTCTGTTCTCTAGAAGAAAAGACTAGCGCTACGGTCTGATCATCAAGGAGGGGTTCTGTGGCATCACAGAGATGGCTCTCAAGACCATGTAACTTTAGGAGAGTGTCAGAGATTAAAAGGAAATCAAAGTTTCCACCGATGGAAACTTTATGAAGCAGGTGTGCGTGTGTGTTTGACGAGGAGGAAAGGGCGGGGCCTCGTGAGCTGGTGGCTGGGCTGCGCTTACGGGAGATCATGCATGTCATTGTCTTTTACACAGAGCTCGGCTCTAGCTTTTTTAACAACTCTTGTTTGGGGTCAGCTACGACCCAAGGCACTGGGTCTCCAGAGCCCAGGCCGAACAGGCTGCTTGGGGTTTACGTTTTCCTGGTACTCAGCTGGCTTGCAGAGCAGGTGGAGAGGGGACACTTGTCCTAGGAAGTCTGAATTCACTAAGCCTCAGCTCACCTCTTGCATTCTGTACTTTGTACAAGTTGCTAAAAAAAAGTAAGCCCAGGCTAGATGGATGATGCAATGTCAAACTGCACAGGAAAGAGTTTTGGCTTTGGGGTGTATTAGTTCTACAGAATAACTCAGATGTGTTTTCGTTATCTGTTGAGTTCTTGCTGTAGGCTTACAGTACAGCATTTTGGAGTTGAGAGAAATTAGACGCTCCACACTAGAAGGACATATAAAATCCTGCCTCCCCCTTTATTGCTGCTTTTTCTAAGAAACTGAGCAAAGAGAATGCACATAAAGAACTGCTTCTTTACTTTGTAGGTGCTCTTTCTACTTCTTCTTTGCCAAAAACAAAAAACAACAACACAAGAAAACCCCCAAAAGCCCTCCCCCCAAAACCCAAACCAAAACAAAACAGGTTAGAGAGAACATGTTTACATGAAATGGCATCCAGACCCTGGGTTCTGATTTCCGCTGTGACTCTAATTTTATTAGAAAAAGTTGCTGGTGGTCAAACCTACAGACTGCATTTCTCTGCTGAAGATACAGTGAGCACCAAAATCAGTTTCTTTCCCAGCCTGAAATCCAAAGGAAAAAAAGAAGTGTTTTGCGTGTCCTGGTGAAAAATAGGAAACCGTGATTGTTTGGTTAAAAAAAAGTCCTGGACTCCACAATATTATCTGTGGCCTAATTCTTAAAACAGGAAAATGGCTTCCAAATACTTCTCCCCCCCGCCCCGCCAATATTTACCATCCTGACAAGGCTTTGATGTCACTGATAGAGCTAGAGTTCTTATACAGAGGCTGTGCGTTATATTTATTCCTTTATAGACTTATCTCTGAATTGGTACCATCCTGCCGTAGATGATAGTTGAAAAGTCTGGCTGGGAAAACAAATCCTGATTGTCTAACATAAAGGTAACATATAACACAGAAGGGAAATAATATGAGAGAGCCTGACTGAACCTCCTTCGCTAGTGGGTATGGTATTTTAAGCCACAGTGCATGTGCAGGTGTAAGTAATAGTCATATATAATATTCTCAGATATTATATACTTATTACATACATGCACAGTGCTTTCCAAGACAGCTACAAATTTACACATGCATCAACTATCTAAAAACATAGAAATAGGTAAGCCTATTAAGTGGAATTTTCTTAAATTATATTTGAACAATTAACAGGGAAAGTAATCATGTAAAGTACTGCTCTGTTCTCGTATATATCTACAATAAAATTCTATAAACAGTTGTCTCCCAAAACATACCCGAATAAAATAAAATTAAAAAAAAAAAAAGATAACACCCAGTGTCCTCTATTTGTATATTTATGGTCATTTCAAAAACAAACAAATAAAAGAGCCCCACTCAGGTGCATATTTACATTCTTCAAACTGTAGCGGTGAAAAATAATTCTATTAAGTGCAGGACATTCCTAATGTTGCAGTAGACATTTTTCTTAAGTCTTCATGAACACATTGCTTTTGTCTTAATGGTGATGCATTCCATGACTAGGAGACAATCCTCTGGTCGCCTTCATTTGCAGACGGTGGCACAGTCAGGATTAAAGAGCTCCTTGTATAATGGAGGAAAGAGTGTATTCACTATGTCTGGATGGGATTGTTTGAATACCTGCAGCTTCTCCCCGTGCAAGTTGCAGACCGCCGTGATGGTGGGGATCTTGGCTATTAACTGCAGAGTGGGGAGAGACGGGGGAGGGGACAGAGGGGGGAAGGAAGCTCATTAGTGCTCTGTCTTCTGAATCAGTGTCGTTCCTGGCCTCAGATGAAGGCAAATGGCTTTGGAAAAAGATGTTCTGAAAGAAAGAAGGCTCACTCTCGGCTTCTCCTTTCCGACAAAACAAAAAACAAAACGCGCCTCCCACCCCCATCCTCGAAAGGTAAAATAGAAAAAGAAAGCACGCAGGGCCAAGCGTCCTGATTCACTGCTCTTAAATAAAGTGTGTATGGTAGGTAGTCGGGTTTGCTCGCTACGAGTGGGTGCTTTGCAGCCAGGCTGACTGAGTCAGAATCCTGGGTCGAAAATAGCTAAATGACTGTGTGGCTGTGATACACTCTGTCTCAGTTTTCTTGTTTGTAAAATGGGCTTACTCACAGTTCCTACTTCCTTGGGTTGTTGTGTGGACGGAGGTAATTCATATAAAAGTGTTAAGAATAGTGTAGGCATGAATCGCAATTGTTAGCTAATATGATCTATCATTTCCCACAGATTTTTCTGATATGAATGTGAGATTTTCGGTTTTGGAAGGCGACCATGTGAGGAAGGTGTAATCTAAACTGTATGAGGCGCGATCCATAATCCTCGGGACTGCTTTGCTCACTAGCTTGCCTGAATCTTTCTCGTTCTTTTCCGCGGTAATGCATAAAATGAGACCTATACTTAAGAGAGAATTTGGGAGGTCACTGGCACTTGCTTCTTCAGGGAGGTATTTAAAAAAAAAACAAACTCGTGGGGGAACAGCCACTTGTAATTGCTCGATTTTGATATATATGTATTATGTGGGATGTGATTTTTTGAGTTCAAATACCCAGAAGACAGTGTTTTATAATAATTTAAAATGTCCACAGTTTGCGAAATGCTACATAGGTCTTAGGAGATGAACAATTCTGGCTTTTAACATATTTATAATTTAGGAACACTTAGAATTCATCATTTCGTGTCAAAATTAGCCTAAAACCAAGTGTCATTATAATCAAATTACTGTGGGAATAAGATGTGCCTTTTCACAAAAGATAAGCCTGGTAGTTCATATAGCTGACCAAAGGTACACTTGAAAGTAGTGATAAAATAAAATTAAATAAACCCCATCTAATCACCAGTTAGGCTCATGTGCTCCCTGCCCTATTCAATAATAAGAAACCATTTCAGCCTTTGAAGTGAAAGAGGAAATAGATAATTAGTTACTTTGTGGCTCTTCAAAATCAAAAATTTCCACTTCCATTAAGTTTTCTTTTAACCACGAATGACTGTGTAACCACACCATGAGCAATTCAAAAATAGCATCAGGATCAGAGCTGTTGATGTATTCTTTAAAGGGATCTAGAACACATAAAGAAGTCTGGGGTTCAGGCTTTCCATTCCCACAGCTGCTTAATGATAGGGGTGGAAATGAAAAATGTGACATCTTTGTTTATAGAATGGATGTTAATTTTTAGACCGAGAATCAAGACTTTTCTTTCCAACAGGATGTTACTTGAACTTGCAACAGGCACTGCTAGACACCAAAGTGCACAAGACAGTATGGTTCTTGCTTATCACCTGCTTGTGAAGACAGATGTAAATAATGGCATCACGCAGTCAAAAGCAGACTGGAAAACCGGTGGGCGCCGTGCAGGAAAGGGTTAGAAGTGGTAGAGAACAGAACGTTCTATTCTCAAGGCTTCCCTGAGAAAGAGCCACGTAAGCTGAGCTCTGAAGGGAGAGTGGATGCTGACTAGATGCTGAGGTCCATGCTATGCCCCGGAGCCATGTGTGATGCTGCCGTGGTACTTGGCGCATTGGAAGAACGGAGTGGTGGGGAGTGAGCATGTTTGACGGAAAAGCGGGAGAGATGGACACGGCCAGTATATGCGAGTTGATGTCAAGGCTCTTTGGAAGGGTTTTTCAGCAAAAAAGATGATCAGAATCACATTCTGAAAGAGTGACTTTGGGCCCAGGGTGGAAGACAGTGTCTTTTCTATATTTTCATAGGTAAAGAGTATACCAGGGTCCACTTCACCGAAGTCCCTTGGGAAATTATCCAAGCTCTCTCAACCAGCTGGTTCACACAGACGGAGACTACAACAATTTGGAACACTTCTTACACATTACAATCTCCCTGAAATAGCTACTGAATGCAGAGAGGCTTTGAAAGCTTTCTATAATCATCCGCAGTGGAACTGATGATATGCAGAGCTCTGAAAACTTCCAGATGCGATTCCATAATGACTGTCAACCTTTACTCTGCGTAAGAATCACTGGGGCGCTTCCTAAAAATGCAGATTCCTGGGATTTACCCTTAGGGACTCTGTGTCAGTAAGTCTAGGTGGCGCTCAGCCTCCATGTTTGAGACAAACACCCCTTGGGATGCTGATGGACTGCATCCATGGAATGGACATTAAAAAAAAAAACAAAAAAAAAACTTAGAGGTCCAAATCTTACAAATTTACAACTGATTTTCAAAATTGAAAAGTAAATTCTGCATCATATCTGAAACAGCCCTGGGAGCTGAGTGGAAAGTTAGCTCCTTTTCAGGAGACAGAGACAGAGTTTATCATCCTCAGAGAGGGGAGGTTCCATTTGCTTGGCTCTGTTAGTTTGGTGGGGGACAAGTAATAGAATTCCTGAGTTCCCTATGGGACACAGATAGACCATAGAGAGGATTCGTCTAGTGGTAACAGGGTTTTAAATCCTGACTGCTTGGGTTTGAATCCCGTATGTGCTATTTATAGCTGTGTGAGTTTGGGCAAGTCACTTCTCAGCTTCGTTATCCATCAGATGGTCCCTACCTCAGAGAGTTGTTGGGAGGGTTAACTGGGTCAGCACAAGCCATCTAGAGCAGTGCTTGGCACATGGTGGCGATATATGGGTTCGGTGCTATGCTTCCATTCCCACATAATGCTTCCTTCAAGGAACAGTCAAGGCCATGCTTGTTCAACCCAATGACATGGGGGGGCAAGAACCCAACTTAACCCTTTAACCAAGCATGGGAAATTGCATCATGTGTTAATGTGTGTGGAAATCAGCCATTTACTTTTGTTGAAATGAAAAAAGCAAAATCGTATTTTCATTTTCTCGTAGCAATTAAAGTAACCTGCTCATTTAGTAAACTGGGATTTATAAAGTGGAATCCTATATACTACAATTCTTAAAAGCATTTTTTTGCTCCTTCAGGGAAGGGGAGGAATTGTCCTTTTATGCATTAATTTCTCATTAAATGCATAAGAGGACAACCCTTCTATAGTTGCTCATGTGCATTTGGAAATACTTAACTATGTGCTCAGTTTTGGGAAAGTGAGTATGGACTCTTGCTTCTTTGCTGCCCCAAACTGGGGTTCAAGGAACATCTGGTTCAGGACCCACTTCTTCCTTCTTTTATGGGATTTGGATCTTGTCCCTGCTGCTCATCTGTATAATGGGCCGGATGATGAGAATTGCTTTTTGTGAAGAGCACTGGGGTCGCATGAGCAAAGAGCTCCAAGGAAGGCAAAAAGCTTCCCTAACCTGTGTGCTCTTGGAGGAGGCTGATTTAAAGGCATCCGATCAGCTGCGGAAATAGAAATGCTGACAGGGGCATCCATCACTCCGGAGGCATGAAGGGCCAGGAGGGTAGGCGGAGGAAGCAGCAGGTAGTCACTTATTGCTCATTAATATTATGTACTGCAGCTGGGGGACCCCCATTTCAAAGGGAGCTCCAAGCAGCCTCAGTGGCAGTTAATGGCTCAACAACTTTTTAAACAGCTGGGGAAGTGATCCAGAAGCACTTGGAGATGGAGGGGGTAGTCGATTTCAAAACATCATGAAATTTCTTCATGTTTAAATAATCCCCGTAGCAGGAGTAGACAGAGGGTCTAGAAAAAGGCATTTTCACATTCATCTCTCTCTTATGATGAGCATTTCTTATAAGAAGGAAGCTTTAGCTTATACCTACGGGGGTCTATGAGAAGAAAAAGCTGCTGTTGGAGAAGAGGTAATAATCCTGTGCTTCTTTCCAGAGGGTGGTTTTATGAGAAAATCCACAATTTTATAATGAGGACGTTTGATGTGGAAAAATGGAACATGCAGAAGGTAAGACTAGTGATCTTGTTCACAGGGGCTTCCAGGCCATCAAGATGCCCTCCAGCCTGAAGCAGGAAACCAACAATGGTTTGACTAAAGTGGAGGAAACTTCAGAAGCACTGATAAAAACCGGGCACATCATGTGAGGCTCAATACATCCATTTAACGTGCCCATTCGCTTTTCTTTTTTTGGGTGTTTGTCTGGCTAAACCTGGACATTTGGATTAAGACTGTAAGATTGAACTTGAGATATCTGTCCGGTTGTAAGCCCCCCCCTCCCCTCCTCACCCCATCCTTGGCATCCATGCTGAACTGGCTGGCTAAAATTAGAGTGGACACTGATTCAGCTGGGGCTGGGAGCTGGCATCGGACTGAGAGCCAGCAAGTTACTTTCTAAGTGCAGCAGAAACCACAAGTAATCGAAGAAGGTAAGAGCAAGCCATATTTCACCATGTGAACCAGGGAAGCAGAGTTAGCTAGTATTTGGGGAGGGCGAAGAATGAAGCAGATGCCTAAAGAGAGATGAATATGAGCTGGAGAATTATAAAGCCTTCTCGATTCTGCATTTTCATCCTTAGGTTCCAGGAGATCTCTCTCCATTCTTTTCTTTTCCTTTTGCTTACGCTAGTGTGAGTTGGTTCCTATTACTTGTTACCAAAGAGTTCTAACGAATACATCAACTTCCGACTTGATGCATGAGGAGTCACATCAAGACCTCTCTCTCTCTCTCTTTTTTAAATTTATTTGAGAGAGCACAAGCCAGGGAGAGAGGCAGAGGGAGAGAGAGAGACTTCCCGCTGAGCAGGGAGCACGATGCAGGACTCGACCCCAGGACCCTGGGATCATGACCTGAGCTGAAGGCAGATGCTTAACTGACTGAGCCACCCAAGCACCTCAAGACCTCTCTTTTTTCT